GAAAAAAATGAAACAAGAATAAAAATAATGAAACAAGAACAAAAAAAACGAAAAAGAACGAAAGGTTAGAACAAATGAAAAAAAATGAAAAAAAAGTAAAAACAAAAAGAAAAAACAACTCACCCATATGTGCCGTCTTCCGTTAAAGATTCACAAATCAAGAGCCGGGACCTAAAAAGAAAGAAAGAAAGGTTAGAACAAACGAAAAAGAAGAATGAAAAAGAAAAAAACAACTCACTCGCGTGTGTCATCTTCTGTTAAAAATTTGCAAATTAAGAGCCTGGATCTAAAAAGAAAGAAAGGTTATAACAAATGAAAAAAAACGAAAAAAAAGCCGAACAAAAAGAAAAAAACAACTCACCCGTATGTGCCGTCTTCCGTTAAAGATTTGCAAATCAAAAGCCGGGACCTAAAAAGAAAGAAAGATTAGAACAAATGAAAAAGAACAAATGAAAAAGAGGAACAAAAAAGAAGAAAACAACTCACCTGTGTGTGCCATCTTCTGTTAAAGATTTGCAAATCAAGAGCCAGGACCTAAAAAGAAAGAAAGGTTAGAACAAACGAAAAAGAATGAAAAAGAAAAGCAAGAGCGAAAAGAAAAAAACAACTCACCCGTATGTGCCGTCTTTCGTTAAAGATTCGCAAATCAAGAACTGAGGCCTAAGAAGAAAGAAAGGTTAAAACCTGTCTCTTATACACATCTAGATGTGTATAAGAGACAGGTATGTGAAACCGAAATGCCAAAGTGCCAAAGTAGCCGAAGAAAGAACTGGGACCTAAGAGGAAATAAGTTAGAACGAAGCAAAAATGAAAAAGAAAACAAATATAAACAAAAAAGAACCCACCTTAGAACTGAAATGTGAAACTGAATGCCAAAGCGCCGAAGTTGTCAAAGAAAGAACCAGGACCTAAGAGGAAAGAAGAGTTTGTTAGAACGAAAAGAACAAAGCAACAAAGAAACAAAATAACAAAGAAACGAAAAAAAAGACATACCTTCGAACTGAAGAGCTGAAATGCCAAAGAACCGGGACCTAAGAATAGAGAAAATTTAGAATGAAAAGAACGAAAACAACAAAGAAACGAAACAAGAACAAAATAAGAACAAAACAAAAACAAAACAAAAACGAAAAGAACAAAATAAGAATGAAAAGAACAAAACAAGAACGAAAAAAATGAAAAAAATGAAACAAGAATAAAAATAATGAAACAAGAACAAAAAAAACGAAAAAGAACGAAAGGTTAGAACAAATGAAAAAAAATGAAAAAAAAGTAAAAACAAAAAGAAAAAACAACTCACCCATATGTGCCGTCTTCCGTTAAAGATTCACAAATCAAGAGCCGGGACCTAAAAAGAAAGAAAGAAAGGTTAGAACAAACGAAAAAGAAGAATGAAAAAGAAAAAAACAACTCACTCGCGTGTGTCATCTTCTGTTAAAAATTTGCAAATTAAGAGCCTGGATCTAAAAAGAAAGAAAGGTTATAACAAATGAAAAAAAACGAAAAAAAAGCCGAACAAAAAGAAAAAAACAACTCACCCGTATGTGCCGTCTTTCGTTAAAGATTCGCAAATCAAGAACTGAGGCCTAAGAAGAAAGAAAGGTTAAAACAAACAAAAAAGAAGAATGAAAAGCAAAACAAAAAAGAAAATAACTCACCCGTATGTGCCGTCTTTTGTTAAAGATTCGCAAATCAAGAGCCAGGACCTAAAAAGAAAGAAAGGTTAAAACAAATGAAAAAGAAGAACGAAAAAGCAAAACAAAAAAGAAGAAAATAACTCACTAGTGTATGCTGTCTTCCATTAAAGATTCGCAAATCAAGAGCCAGAACCTAAAAAGAAAGAAGGGTTAGAACAAACGAAAAAGAACGAAAAAGAAAAGTAAAAGCGAAAAGAAAAAACAACTCACCCGTATGTGCCGTCTTTCGTTAAAGATTCGCAAATCAAGAACTGAGGCCTAAGAAGAAAGAAAGGTTAAAACAAACAAAAAAGAAGAATGAAAAGCAAAACAAAAAAGAAAATAACTCACCCGTATGTGCCGTCTTTTGTTAAAGATTCGCAAATCAAGAGCCAGGACCTAAAAAGAAAGAAAGGTTAAAACAAATGAAAAAGAAGAACGAAAAAGCAAAACAAAAAAGAAGAAAATAACTCACTAGTGTATGCTGTCTTCCATTAAAGATTCGCAAATCAAGAGCCAGAACCTAAAAAGAAAGAAGGGTTAGAACAAACGAAAAAGAACGAAAAAGAAAAGTAAAAGCGAAAAGAAAAAACAACTCACCCGTATGTGCCGTCTTCTGTTAAAGATTCACAAATCAAGAGCCGGAACCTAATAAGAAAGAAGGGTTAGAATGAACGAAAAAAAAGACAAAGGAAAAAAAAAGAAAAGAACGCACCTTAGAAGAGCCGAAATGCTGAAGAGCCAAGTCCTAAAAAGAAAAGAAGCCTTCCATTAAAGATCCAAGCCGAAACCTAAGAAGAAAATGGAGTTAGAATGAATGAAAATGGAAAGGAAAAAGAAAAAAGACGCACCTTAGAACCAGAGAGCTGAAATAATCAATAAGGAAAATAGTCCAGAAGTCTCTAAAGGGCGCTAAAAAAAAAGACAATAAAGAACGTTAGGAAACGTTCTTAAATGAAATTAACGAAAAAAATAAAAAAAACCCCTACCTTTTCATTTTTAGGGGTCCGATTTCGTCTTTAGGGGCATTTCTATGAGAATTAACTAAATGAATGTTAAAAAACGTTCCTAAACAAATTAAAAAAAATTAAAAAAAAAATAGATATCGATAATCTAATTATAATAAACCGCCAATAAAAAAAATTCTAACTTATCATGTGATAGGGTTGAGGGCGGTGAATATATAGTTAGACCAGATTTACAGGTAAATAGGCCAATTTTTTATAAGTTATTTGTTTGGAACTTTAGGTGGTGGGTTTTGGAATAATATCATAAACATTGCAAAATGGAAACTTCAATTTTGATTTTTCACCTTTGCTATTTTTTTGTATTTTACATGTAGCACTAATAATGTACAACAAAAAATTTTTTTAAAATAAAATAATAAATATAAACAAATGTTTTTTTTTGAATAAAGTTGTGTTTTAACTTTTAATATTGTTAGTGAAAGTATTAGTTGGGAAATGCGAAATTCAAAAAATGGAGTTTTTTATTATCATTGATTTTCATTATATGTGAATCGGCAATTAACTGTTAACGTAGTTAACAGGTGAATACTAGTGTATTTATATAAAATTGTGAAATGTAGTACAAAATTAACACTCATTGTTAGTGAAAATAAAATAAAAATTAATTATAAATTCAATATATAATATTTTAAAAAGTTATATAAATATGAAAAATAAGCAACTAAAAACTCTTAGTATTTTAAAATAATACCAAAAATATGCAATTTAATTATCTTACATAGTATAAAATTTTCTTAAAATTAAGCATTATAAAATTCTTACATCATAAAACTTTACTATGTTGGCTAAACACCTTGGTACCTTACATATATAAGCATTTTCCGGGATCCTGACTGCAGTCTTTTTAAGACTGATCGGTCTTTTTTCTTTTTTTTGCAAATAAAAAAAGATTTTCTCCCCTAACTTTATTAGGAATAGCCTTGTTTTATAAATGAACACTAATTGGAATGATTTTTAATATAAATTTTTTTTTTACAAATTACCTGGACGGATATCATCATAACGTCATGCAAAATTTAAAACTTTGAGAAAAATACTTCAAAACGCAATATCTCGCTATTCAGTGATTATAAAAGGATAATTTTACCACCATTCAAATCATCTCGTCGAATGGTATCAAAATCATGATTTTAGAATCGATAAAAAAAAATTACGTCAGCAAAACTATTTGATAATAAATTCAATAATTACCAATTATCTATCGATCCTAGAAACATAATTTAGTTACCATTCAACGCGTCTCACTGAGATGATTCGAATGGTGGTAGTTTTATCCTTTTATGATCACTGGATGACGAGATATTCTGCTTAAATGCTTTTTTTGAAGTTTTAAAGTTTCAGCGTTTTGACAAGCAACTCTACAAGTGGGAAGAGTGATTGTCATTATTTATTGGTTTGGAAATGGCCAGTCTTTATATTATTTTATGAAGACCTTTGTCAGATTAATAGGTTTATTCAATATAAAAATCATTTATTATATGAAGACCGGTATGAGGACTGGTCGGTCTACAGGACCAATCCTACTGCGTCACAAAAAAATGCAAGACCGTGATCTGGTCCTACAAGTCCTGAGACCAACCAGTCCAGAACCGAGTAGGACCGGTAGGGCCGATGACCATCCTTATCGACACCTGACACACAACATTAATATGAAAGTAAAGTATAAAAGAAATATTAAGTATTAAACTGAATAATATAATATTAAAAAATAGGAACTGTTATAAATAAAGATAATTATTGGTTCTACCAGTCCTAATCAGTCCCAGAATTTATAAGATTAGACCATGGTCTTTCACTTTTCTCTGATGCAGTAGGACTGATTTTGAGACTGATCTGGTCTTTGTATCGGTTTTTATATATAAATGATTTTATACTAAATAAAGTTATTAACTTAATGAAAATCTTTATAAAGGAATAAAAAGACCAACCAATTTTGATAATCACAAATCAATAAATAAAGGAAATCATTTTTCCTATTTACATGCCTATTGAAAAATCCTATAAATTTATACAATTAATGTCTATTTATAAAGCTAATAAAGTAATTGAAAAAAATTATTATTCGCAGAAAAAAGAAAAAAGAAAAAATACTGATCAGTCTTAATTCTTAAAACTGTGATCCTTGAAAAGACTGATGGTCTTATTGTATATGTTGCAAGACCAAAAAATCGCAATCCTATACACAGGTCAAAAAGTGAAAAATCAGGCATCAATCAGTCATCAATCGGTCACCAATCAGGTAATTGATTGGTGACCGATTGGTAACTGATTGGCATTTTTGCCAAATATCGTCACCAATCAGGCAGTTTGCTAACTTTTGATCTAGTGATCAGAAAAGAATGAAATATAGCTCATTGGAATCGTCTCAACAAGACGAATCTAATAGTAGTAAAATCGCATCTCTAGGATTAATAGTTAATAAAAAATTAAATAAAATATAAATGATACATTTTTATTTTTATATTTTACTTAATTTCTCATCAAGTATTAATTCTAGAAATGTGATTTTACTACCATTAGATTCTTCTTGTTGAGACGATTCCAATGAGCTATATTTCATCCTTTTCTGATCACTAGATCAAAAGTTTGATTGGTGACGGTATTTGGCAAAAATGCCAATCAGGCACCAATTGGTGCCTGATTTTTCACTTTTTGACCTGTGATATCAAGACAGACTGGTCCATCTTTTTAAGATGTAGGACTGCAAGACTGTGATCTTTTAGGACCGATGACTATTTTTAGTTATAAAAAACTAAAATTGCAATTTTATTAATTTTATTGAATGAAGATTATATAGTAGATTTACATGATTGATTCTTTTTCATAATATATAAACATATATTATTCTTTGCTTTATTCTGAATAATTAAAATATAAAAGATTAAAAACTGAAATAAATTCATATCTGATATAATAAAAGTAAAATTAAAAATAATTAAATGACTATATTATATATAAAAAAAAGTAAAAAGAAAATTTAAAAATATTGAAGAAATTTAAAATATTATGATTATAATAATTATAAAATATATATAAATAATAATAATATAGAAAATTAAATAAATATAAAAATAAAATTAATCCTGAAATTGAAAAAGATATAAATATAATAATTTTAAATTTGTATAAAAATTTAAATTCAAATAATACTTTGCTAAAAATAGATAAAATTTTGAAATTATTTAAATATTATTTTGTTATTATTACGATAACTTTTTGTAAACCATCTTGAAAGATCTTATAATACAATTTCAAAAAAATTGAAATACTTATGTTATATTTTTATAATAGTTTTGAAATTATTTTGTAATAATTAAATTAAATATATTATTAATTTGAAATTATTTTATTAAGAATTTGTAATATTTTAGTAATATTTTAATTAATAATTTAAAATTATTTTAATTTATTATTGCGATTATTATTATACCACAATATTACAATACATACATCATACTAATCTAAATTATATGGCTGTATAGTAAAATATATTATGCATATAATACATATTATTTTGAAAATGTTGTCCGTCTATACAGCTTGTCTTACAACAATGAACAAAATGAACATTAGGTTGGTGATCGATCCATTTTATTGCATAAATACGTCTCCATGTATAATCTGATTGCCACTGTAATCTATATAAAGGACACTTTAATTTTTAATCATTAGTATTTTGAGAAATAAACCAATCTAAGAAAAGAAATGGTACTTGAAGTTGTCCTTTTTGATGTAAAATTATTGCTTTAATTCGTGCATAAGATACTCTTGTAACCATATCAGTAGCATTTTGAGATATATTTCCAAGTGGTGTAATATCTTCTAATACATCTACAACATCTCCTACATTTAATTTTACGTTAACTTGCTCATCTTTATCTACAATTGTATAGGAATACTTTTATAGTATTTAACTTTACGAGATTTTAGATGTTCTATATTATTTAAATCCTCTTCGTAAGCTCGTCCCAACTCTGCAAATAAATCATCATTTAGAAAGGTTTCAAGATCATCTTTCTTTAAATCACATTTTTTAAGTGGTGATTGAACACATAAATTAATATAATTTTCGGTCATACAAGTTAAAGATGAATCTGTAAATTAAAGTAAATAAATATTAAAATATTTAAAATGATGTATAATAAAGATTACTTACCACTTTCTAAATCAAATTGTAATGGTGAAATATACCAATTATCTAAAAAGTTTCGTACACATTGATCTTTTAGTAATTCTTTAAAATTAAATTGAGTTGTATTATTATATCTTGAATCAACTCCTCCATCCAATAAGTATCTAAGAGTTTGTAATAAATTGTGATAATGGAAAAAGTCGAATTCAATGTTTTTTTTGTTAGAATGCGGGATTACAGACTTAAAAATACGGTGTACCATTTCTTTAGTAGCTACTGCCTTATTTACAAGAGGTCCAAAATTTTGAATGTGTATATTAAAGTGACGAATTATGTGAAAATTAGGAAGTCGTGAAATGGAAGGAAAAATCTAATACCATAAGATTGCTTGTGATAATGTACAAAACTATGATTTGCAAAGGTAATGACAAAAAAAATCATACCTTTAAGATTAAATCCGCCCATTGAATGATAAGATCATTTAAATTCTTAATTTCTGCTTTAGAATATGTTTTTTTAAATACTAAAGCAATTAGTTTAGCAAATAAAATCCAGAGATAACATAACTTATCAACTATCTGGTTTCTTCGCAAATTGTATGATATTGAAATATTGTTAACAAAATTATCTTTTAATAAATTAACATTGATTGCACGGTTAATTAAAAATGGCATTATCATTGTTAAATGAAGGTAATCTGAGAAAAAATAAGAATTGAGATGAGTTATAGGACTTTGTTGACGTGACCATGTACTTGGAAATTCAAAACATTTCCAAATAGTTAAAAATAACTCTTCTCCTTTAGTCGTTAAAATTGAGAATGTTTCTTGTAATATATTACTGGCTAAGCCTCCCATACAGTGGAATACGTCATGAGGGCA